AACCTCTCCCCAGTATGTAATTGTTCCAGCTGCCACTTATCAAATGTGTGCAGCCTACTGTGGAGTTTTATATATGTTATCACACTTTATTTCACAAGAAGCCTTTAAGACAAGTAGTGTCCCTGATGCAGATGAGAAAACTGAGGCTTGGAGAAGTGAGCTGACTTGGCTCAAGAAGGGAAGCCAAGATTGCCAACCAACTCTAGAGTCTTACAGCTCATCATAGTAATTACTGCCAAAAGCATACTAGTGCCCACTGTTTGCCTGACCCAATGCACAAAATGCATGACAAATATCCTCTTGTCTAATCATTACTATCTCCATGTTTTGAGGCACATACATATTTATCTCTGCTTTATAGATGATGAAGCCGAGGCTTCAGAGAGAAGCATTTGCCCAAGACCTGTAGCTGGAGGTGCCCGAGTATCCCGAGTAATCCCAACCAGATCTGGCTGACTCCAAAGCTCATATGAGCAATGATAATTGCTATATTGCCCCTCAAGGGAGGAAAGAGGCAATAATAAAAGTGGGTAAGCCCCTTCTATGACAAGTACTCTGTTCACCGTGTCTACATCAGAGATTATCAGCCTTGACTACACATTAGAATCACCTGGGAGCTTTAGAAAATCTTGCTGCCTGGGTCTCACACCCAGAAAGTCTCATTTCATCGGTCTCAGCTATGATCTGGGCACCAGGATTTGTAAAAGATCCTCTAGGTGATTCCAATAATTGGCTTAACTTCCCTCCACCATCTCCCTGGGCCAGCTTTAATGGTTCTCAACTCTAAGAGTGTGCTGGAATCGCCTGGGGGCCTTTCTTTCCTGGTTGTAGATGCCCAGACCCCAACTCCGAAGATTTCTTTCCAGCTAGTCTGGGAAAGGGCTCATTCATGGATGAAGAAGCTTCCTGGGTTATTCTACTATACAGCCAAGGTTGCAAACCACGAAACCACTGTATATTCTAAGACACAGCCAAGATTGCCAACCAGTGAACCAGGCATAAACTAATATCCTATTTTGCTTAGGAGGTAGCTAAGGCTCACACAGGTGAAGTAACTTACTCAAGGTCACATACCTAGTAAATTCTGTTGTAGCCACTATTCTAGGATAGCATGAGAACTGAAAAAAAAAAAAAAAAAACTTTTTCCTTAGCACTAAATGCAAGTCATTGCTGAACAGTTAAAATTTTGATAACTACTAGGAACTGGGCTCTTTCTTTAAAAAATAGTTCCTGTATTATGCTCTTCATGTGGTTATACCCTCCAACTTCTTTATCTGCTGTACCAGTTCTCTGTTGCTGCTATAACAAATGACCAGAAACCTAGTAGCGTAACACCACAAACGCATTTTCTTACCGTTCTGAAGATCATTAGTCCTAAAGAGGTCTCAGTGGGTTAAAAGTCTTCCTTTCTGGACACTCTAGGGAAGAGTCCATTTTCTTGCTTTTTCCTGCTTCTGGAGGCTGCCACATTCCATGGCTCGCAGCCCTTGCCTCCATCTTCAAAGCCAGCGGTGCTGGGTCAAGTCCTTCCCATGCCTCGCCACTCTGACACTGCCTCTTCTTCCTCTTTCTTGCACATTTAAAGATCTCGTGATTATATTGGGCCCAGCTGGAAACTCCAGGCTACTCTCCGGATCTTAAAGTCAGCTAATTAGCAACCTTAATTCCAACGGCTACCTTAATTCCCTTTTGCCATGTAATGGAACATATCCACAGGTTCCAGGAATTAGGATGTGGACATCTTTGGGAGGCCATTGCTGCGCATACCGTACCTGCTTTGTCACCATGGAGGCTGTCCCACTCGTAGCCGAGAAATCAGACAACCCCGGTCCCCGGGAGCAGCGTGTCTTGCTCTGACTGCAAGCATTCAAGGAAACAGCCCAGTAAGTGGGGTGAAAGTTCATAAAATTGTTTGGCATCACATAGATCTAATTTTCCTCTGTTTGATCATCCACGTGGCATTATTGGCCTAATTATGATTTTTGACACAGCTTAGTCAACCACTGTCAGGTACCCAAGCAACCTTACACCAAGGAGAAGAAAAAGAGACAACTTCCTGTAAAGCCAGAGAATGAGAGGCTCTTAAGTATGGCCTTTAAAGGCCACCATAGTCCACCCCATCATCTGATGTTAACCCCTCTCTCTAAGTGGTTATCTTCCTTGTACTTGGTTCCTCCTGGGACAGGGAGGTCATTAGCTCTTAAGCAGCTCATTGTACTTTTTAACTGCTCTGACTCTTTAAAAGGGTTTTCTTACTACACTGCTGTTGAGAATTTTGCGATAGATCTGTTTGCGCTGACACAGAAAAACATCTCCAAGATGAATTATTAAGGGCAAAAAGCAAGTGAAGGGTTATATTCCTAGCATGATCTAATTAGTATGCAAACCTTCTAGGTGTGTACGTAATTGCATAGGGGAAACTCTGGAATCATAAGAACAAATCAATGACAATATTTAACTTTAATAAGAAGAGGCAAATTTAGAGGGAATAAGTGCATATTTTTCTGCGTTGTAATGATACATACCTCATAGGTTGTTGCAAGAATAAAGTGAGATAGGCCGGGTGTGGTGGCTCACGCCTGTAATCCTAGCACTTTGGGAGGCCGAGGTGGGCGGATTGCTCAAGGTCAGGAGTTCGAAACCAGCCTGAGCGAGACCCCGTCTAACAAAAATAGAAATAAATTAATTGATCAACTAAAAATATATATACAAAAAATTAGCCGGGCATGGTGGCGCATGCCTGTAGTCCCAGCTACTCGGGAGGCTGAGGCAGTAGGATCGCTGAGCCCCAGAGATTGAGGTTGCTGTGAGCCAGGCTGACGCCACGGCACTCACTCTAGCCTGGGCAACAAAGCGAGACTCTGTCTCAAAAAAAAAAAAAAAAAAAAATAGAAAAAGGCCTGACATATAGTAAATACTCAATAGATGTTAACTAATTTTTTGACTTTTTTAAAAAATTATTTTTAATAATAATTATTTATTTTTTAATAAAAAATTATTTTTAATAATAATATGGGTGCACAATAGTTGTATGTCTTTATAGGGTACATGGCATGTTTTGATATGGGCATATATTATGAACTAATCAAATCAGGGTAATTGAGGTATCCATCACCTTAGACATGTTAGAAACATTCCAAGATGTCCACTTTACCTGCAGACATTACATCCACTTTCCAAGCAGAAAAGAGGAGGAAAGATGGTTCCAGCTGTGTCTTTTCCCTTTTTTTGGAAGATTTCCATTTTTCCCAGGAGCACTCAAAGCAGATTTTATTTCATTCCCACTGACCCCATTTGTGTCATTTCTAGCTGCAAAGGAGTCTAATAAAGTGAGGAACAAGATTTCCATAATTGACTTTGACTAGTGATGACTCATAGCCTAGCACTGGGTATACCACTGCCTGTAACAAAAATGGGGTTCTACTCTCAAGCAAGAAGGTGGGTTAGATATTGGGTGCATACCTGTCTATCACAGCTTCCGTTCATGGAGCCTAAATCTCTACCCTAAGCATCCCCTATTGATCCTAGTTGTTATTTACAACAATCCATGCCTTATTCATAACTCCACTTGTAGGCTGCTTGTGGTGTGATATATAACTTATTTAAAATCTCATGGGGAACCCAGCAGGGTCAGAGCTGGGATTTACAGACTTCCACTTGTGGAGATGAGTAATATTCCTTTCCCCAAGTATTTATTTACATCCCACTGAAATGCAAGACGGAGGGGAAAAAAAAAAAAAAACTCGAATCCTATCTGTAGTTGGGATGTTCAAACATCATATGAAAGGAAATGGAGCCAGCAATGGAAGTCCAGTGGTAGAGAGGGGTGGCTCAGGTCGGGAGGGAAATTTCATCATAAAAGGAAAAAGAGACCAGCGCTCAGGAGACTCAACTACAAAGTCTTCTGTAGGAGGACCCAGTAAGGGACAACAGCTGGAACTTGACCTAGGCTAAATGAGGGAATATATGAGTGTAAGCATGTGTGCTCCGGGTAGACAAGGGGCTCTAAGAAATACTGATGTGTCACCTCTTCAAATTAAGTGTAGGAAGGACAGACAGTCCATCGTCTCACTTCACAACAGAATGCCAAGCGACCATGGCACTGTGAGAATTGAGGGCCCCGACAGCTGCCCAGCAGAAGAAAGACGGAGAATGTTGGTTCTAGAATCACACTGCTTGGGTGCACACCCCACTTCTACCATCTCCTAGCTGTGTGACCTTGGGAAAAGTTGCTTGACCTCTCATTAGTTTCATCTGTAAAATGGAAATAATTAATAATAATAATATAGACCTCAAAATATCATCGTGAACATTAAATAAGATAACATGTCTAAAAAGCTTAGCACAGTGCCTGGCACTTAGGGAGCTCTTGCTGTTTGTAAGCTATTAGTATTGTTGTGCAAAAGGGTCAAGACTGCCAACGGTTACGGTGGGATCTCAGAACAGTCAATGCTAGCAGCAGTTACTAGAAGCCAGATATCAATTCTAGAGTACAACTGTAACTAACCCTAATCAGAGGTCCCACGTGGCCCAGTCTGGAGGACCATAGAATTTAAAGAAACTCAGCCCAGCAACTAAAAGAATGCTCGTCTAGCCTTTTGCGTCCCTTGCTCAGCATTGAAGAGGGATCAAATTCACTATCTACAGCAGCACTTCTTTAAAGCAGGTGTCCAACCTACAGTGAGTTGTATAATTATTTCATTATATATTACAATGTAGTAATGATGGAAATAAAGTGCACGATAAATGAAATGTGCTTGAATCATCCTGAAACCATCCCCCACCTCCTTCCCCAGTTTGTGGAAAAATTGTCTTCCATGAAAACAGCCCCTGCTGCCAAAAAGGTTGGGGACTGCCGCTTTAAAGGATGCCTTTGTCTCGCTCACCAACTCCCCCCACACCTCCTTCAGCATATTCCTCACCCCCAACTCTCCCCCAAACCTCCAAACCCTCCCACCCATGAGTGTCCCACACGGTCTCTCCCTCTCACCTACCTCTGTTCTGTTTTCTCTCTGACAAGTCAGTGCATGATTTTTCAGAAGAAAATCCCACCATCCCTTCTCTGGTTCTTCATCCGCTGATGAGCACGTTGTGCTCCTGAGCCTGGGGTGGGGGAAAAGGAAAAAAAATACTAAGTGGATATTGCCAGAAATCATCACAAGAGAACCAGAAGTGGAGGAAATGCGATGGATCATAATACATTCATAAATTGTGTCTCTGCCTTTTTATGTAAGGCTCCTCTTTTTCCTAACTCAGCCACTTGACAAGTATTTATCTGTGCCAGGCACAGTTCTGGACTCGGGGATGTAGGGTGGTGATACACGCCCCTGCTTTTAGGAGCTCACCTGTCTCCTGCTGTCTTATCCACCTCCCAGGACAGAGGATGCCCCAGGTCACCCAGGTCCCAGGCCAGGAGCCGACGCTCGGCCCCCTCGGACAGTTCTCCTGAAGACCCCTGCCGCGGGGTGGGATTCCAGTCCGGATGGCTGTGTCCTGCCGCTGCTTAATAGTCTAGGAAAATGAAGACGCTGAGTTGACAGTGGCCTTGGCAGACTCAGCGCGAGATCCCAACACATTTATCAGCAGCCCGGGAGCCACTGTTCAGCCTCACTGACCTGTAAAATCCACACTAAACTCGGGGCCGGCTCTTCAGCGTCTGAATTTGATTTAGACCCCAGTAAAGGCCCCTAAGGCCTGGCGCTGACAAATCACCATTTCCCAGGACTGTTCCGCTTCACACGGAGGTTTGAAGAGTGCCAGAAGCCCGTGGAAGGAGCCAGACCTGCCTCACCTACTAGCACAGACTCAAGGAGCCCCCTGGTTCTCCAGCGCCCTCCACCAAAATGCCTCCTCCACTGGGCACTTCTCCCTCATAGCACCTGTCACATTTGGAATTATTAGATTAAAATCTGTCTCCTCTGATGGAATATTAGCTCTGGGAGGGCAGGGGCCCTATCTGACGTATTCATGGCTGTCCCCCAGTGGCAAGCCCAATGTGTGGCACATAGTAGGCACTCAATAAACATCTGTTGATATAATCATGCATGATACCACTTTCATTATATACCTCGAAAAAAAAAAGTGTGATAATAACAACATTTAGTCAACATTGACTCCATATCAAGTAGAATGCAAAGTGATTTACATTCATTATCTTCAGCAAATAAGAAGTCAGAGAGGCAAGATTTATATCCTGACTTAGCCATTTCCCAAATGCATAACTTTGAGCAAGCGATGTGAGCTCTCTGAGCCTCAATTTCCTAATCTGTAAAATGGGTTAGCAATAATAATACCAAACTCACATGGTGCATGTGAAGGGCACAACGTAGGAGCAATTTTTTTTTTTTTTTAAAGAGCTCAGGTCGCAGGCCACAGAATGCACTGTTGACCGCGCCCCACGCTTGCCAAACTAGTTGACTCCTTGGTCTCCAGCACAACCTACAGTGCAGCCTTGACCGAACTCGGGAGACCTGAGTCCCAACCCACCTCTGCTGCAACGTAAGGTGCGACTTTCAGGATGCCCCTGCCCTTCTCTGACTCAGCACCTGCCTCTATAAAACGGAGGAGAAGAGTGTAGATAAAGAAAGTGTGGGCTTTAGGATCGAGCACACTTCACATAGGAAATGAACCTAAGTGGTTCGATCTGCCCAGCATCCACTGTTATCTATTCCGGTAACAGTATTCTGATTTCTTTAAGGGACGCTCCCCTATGCTACCACACACTCTCAGCCCTTGGGGTCCAGATGGAATTTATGACCTATCCCCCCACCCCCAGATTGGCTGATCAGAATCACAATTATTGGTTGTGGGATGTTCGTGACCTAATTAATGTCAATGGATATCAACCCTGGAACTTTTGTTGAAACCACTGAGAAAAGATGTTCCTTTTCACTGGACAGCTCAGCTCATAGGCTATATGACTGCTTGGGAGCATTTTCCTTCATAAGATTTGGGTCAAATTCTAAAGAGCCTTTCACACTATGCTAAGAAGTATGAAAGTTTTACCCTGAAATTGAGAGCTTGTCCAATTTTTTTCACCCAAGTATTTATAAACAGAAGAGAAGAACAAATTAGGTAACATGTTCGTTTTGAAGTGCTGAGCTCATGACTTCGACTGCAAAATTTCCCCAGCCACTCTTGACTTAGCTTGCATTATACATGTATGTATACTTTAAGTATTTGCTTTTGTGTTTAATAAATTCTGCGCTCCAAAAACTCTTAAAATTGTTGGTCCTAGAAAGTTATTCCTGTTTAACCTGTGGCTTTCTGACTCTCCTAGTTCACTATCATGTATCTTTAGGGCTACAGGTGCCCCAGTTTGAGAAATATGGCTTTAAACAAAAGGCCGTCACTGGAGGTTTTTACTGGGTAGTGTAGCCTGATCTTGACTGCACATTTAGAAGATAACTCTGGGCAATGATACCTTTTGTCCATAATTTCCAAGGTCAGGGTTGCAGCAAAAGTCCCTATAGTCCCACATGAACTTTGACAAGAGGTCAAGCTTGTGACCTCATTCTGGAATGTTCCAATCTCCCCACTCCTATCACAAGGCCCCTTCACACATCGAGTTGACCTTTCCAAAGGACACAAGAGTCCCTGCAGCTCCCATCAAATTTTATTTCCCCGTGGGGCTGTGCTCTGCCAGGAGATAACTACATTCCTGCTAAATTGCTTTGATAAAGTTGATTGTGGGCCTCAGATGGCTGAGCTTTTCTGGAAGTTAAGTTAAGGCTTTGAACTAAAATCTGTCTCAGCACTGATCTAATCCCCACAAGGATCAACTTCCACTGCTTCGGGGTCACCCTGAAATATTGTGGAATCCTTGTGGCACAGAGGAGTGATCTGTAACTGTTTGGGGCGAGGGTCACAGATGATTTTAAAAACCTGATGGAACCTCTGGGCTCCTCTAGGCAGAAAAATAAGTGCCTTTTGCGCAAAATGTTAGACACAATTTCAGGAGCATGGTAGACACTCCAAAAACCCCATTCTGAGATTAGGTAAAAATCCAGGGATGAGACTGCCAAAACTGGAAGAAATCATAGAAATAATCTGGCTCAGCGGGTCCCTGAATAACAGTGATAACAACAGCAATTATTATGATGATTATGATTATCATAAAAAGCAATCTCCTATGAAGTGCTTGCTATGTGCTAGGCACTCCGCTGAGACTTTGTGTACATGTCATTAAATCCTCACAATAACCCAGTGTGTTCGGTGCTATTTCATTCCCACCTTACAGAGGAGGAAACTGAGGATCCCGGAGCTTAAGTCACTGGCCTGTGGACAGTGAGGAACTGAGTGGCAGAAGCTGGCTGTCTCCTAGATCCATGCTCACATCCACAGTGTATTGGTGCCTGTCATTCGTAGTTATTGTCACCCTTAGTAGAAAGTAACGGGAACCCAGTAAAGCACAAAGCAGGCTTCTTACAAGGAGGGATATCAGTGTGTCTTACAGAATCCAGAGACAAGAAATGGGCAGGATTGGCGGACTAACCTGGGACTAGACATCAGTTTGCTATAGGAACCAAAGGAAAAACAAAAGCAATCCATCTGTTATGAACTGAAGGTTTGTGTCTCCCCAAAATTCAAACAGTGAAGCCCTAACCTCCACTGTGACTATATTTGGAGGCAGGACTTGTGAGGAGATAAAGGTTAAATGCAATCATAACATCAGGCCCCTAATCTTTCCATAGGGCTGGTTCCCTTATAAGAAGAGGAAGAGACACCAGAGCTCTCTGTCCACCTTGTGCGGGCACAGTGAGAAGGCAGGGTCTGCAAGCTAGGAAGAGAGCCCTCGTCGGGAGTTGAACCTCACCAGAAACTTGATCTTGGACTTTGCAGCCTCCAAAACTGTGAGAAAATAAATTTCTGTTGTTTAAGCCACCCAGTCTATGGGATTAATATTTTTGTCATGGCAGCTTCAGCAGGCTAAAACACCCTCTCCCTCCCTCTCTCCTTCCCCTTCCCAACAAAGAAAGAGAATCAACAAAGGGGAGGTTTAGGAACTGAGTTTCCCTAGCATGCAGGCTGGGTCACCAGCTGGAGATGGCCACTCGGAGCCACATACACAAAATGAGTGAAACCCTGAAATTGCGGAGGTCTCAACCTCAGATGCCTCGGAGAGTCCGACAGGGAATAAAAGTGAGTGACATGGGCTGGACATGCACAGAGGGGAGAGGTGAGGACCAAGAACCCATGCAAGTGGCACAGCCATTACTCAGCACCAGCCAGCCTTGCCATGCAGACATACAAGTCAAATGCTAGCAGTTTGTGCCTTTCTGTTTGTTTTTTGTTTTGTTTTGTTTTGTTTTGTTTTTTAATAAACTGATAACCTTCATTGGCATGTGCAATCTCCAGATTTTTTAACACTGCCAACTTGTACAGTCCAAACTCAGCACATGTATGGACTCTTCCTAAACTGAGGGCAGCTAGTTTGTGAGATGTGTATAGAATCCAGCTGGGAGGGGTGCCGAAAGAAGGCATGCTAAGGAATCACAAACCCAGGTTCAAATCCTGGTCCACCACTTCCTTGCTGTGCTACTTAAGAGGTCACTTAACCTCTCTGACCATCCTGAGATAATAATCCTGTTGTTTCCAATATTTTTCCAGTATAAATCACGCTGTTGTAAATAATGCTGTACACATGTCATTCTGCATTGTGCAAGTTTCTCCACGGGATAAAATCCCAAAGAGGAAACTGCCAAGTGTCGCAGGTTGGATTCTCCGGAACAGATGCTGAGAGGGAGTTTGGGTTGCAAAATGTTTATTAGGAACATATGTCCACACACGAACTTGTACATAAATGTTCATAGCAGCAGTATCCATAATAGCCAAAAAGAGTGGAAATAACCCAAATGTCCATCAACTTAGGAATGGGTGAATAAAATGTAGTATATTCACATTACGATAGAATAGTATTCAACAATAAAAAGAAATGAACTACTGATTATAACATCATGAACACTGAAAACATTATGCTAAGTAAAATAAGACAGATGCAAAAGACCACATATTATATGAAATGTCCAGAACAGGCAAATCTTTAGCGATGATAGATTGGTGGTTGCCTAGGGCTGGAAGTTTGGGAGGAAAATGAGAAGTGA